TTAGAATTGCCTGCTGAGGGAAGAGGAAGCTTGCACATTTATCCACTGGTTCCCATTCCTCATATGTTGAAGGTTGCCTCTGAGAGCCTGATATGCTATTACTTACCAGCCACCCTGGAAAGCCTACCCTTGCTTGAACTAAGCAAATTCCTATGGCACCTAAAAGCGATTCAGGAAGAGAAGCAGAGAGATCCAGACACAAGTTGGGTGCTGTCGGAATGTTTAGGAACTATCCTCTACAGCTGCAGGTAAAGTTGGTGGGACGTCAGCAGCATCTTCTACAAAAAGAATGAAGATACTAATTCTCTATATTTCTTTCAGACTATTGTAAACAGCGTATGTTGTGTTGCTAAAGGTGTGAGAAAACAGCATGCTGATATACTGTTGTTGAGAATGTGTATTGGTACAGCTTTCATGAAGGCAGTTTGATAGTAGTTATCAGTATTGAAGATGAATATACTCTTTGATCCAGGTTTTAGGATTTTCACTTCTAGGAATTTTTGATCCTGCAGATATTTGTGCAAAGACTTTCATACAAGGATTTTCACTGTAATAGTAAAAGATGGGGGAAAGTTTTCCTCAGCACGACATAGTAAGTTATTGTACACCCTTACACCATCACCCTTAAATAGGAAGAGGTCCTCTCTGTGTACTGATATTGAACACTAGTAGGAGGGAGCAGAAAATATAAAATGACTAACAGTGCATATAGTATACTCTCATATTGTGCACATGAAAAAAAGAGAAAGTGTGGGTATTTCTTCATGCTATGGATTTTATTCTTTATATGACTTTTCTGTCATTCCTAGGGATTTGAGGCTCCGGGGTAGTATTAGTCTACCAAATGATAGACTGTGAAAACGAATATGATGAAAACTGGCAAATAATAACAGAGTTCAACAAAGGGACTGGATAGCAACTAGACATTCACAAATTGGTAGTTTTCCAGTTCACCAGCAGCAGACAGAAAATGCAACAGAAAGAAATTCACAACAGAAACCTAAGTATAAAATACCTGAGAATAAACATTCAAACATACATTCAACATTGTATAGTAAATATAAAAGATCTTTACAAGATAAAATGTAAACATTATAGGCCATAGAAGAAAACCTCAGTAAATGGAGAATATTATTATTCATAGGTAGGAGGTCTCAATATGATGCCAAATCTCTTCAAATTTGTCCCTAAAGACTTTGTATTGTACTTTATCAAAATTAAAAACTCTACTGCATCAAAGAACATTATCAAGGGAGTGAAAAAGACCTCCCAATGAATACAAGAAAATATTTGTGAATCATATATCTGATAAAGGATTAATATCTAGAATATATAAAGAATTCTTTAAAGAAGATATACAACTAGTCAATAAAAGAAGCCAACACATGAAAAGATGCTCAACATCATGAGTCATTAGGGAAATGCCAATCAAAACCACAATGAGAGAGCACTTCATACCCCTTCGGATGGCTCCTTTTTTTTTTTTTTTTTTTTTTTTTTTTTTTTTTTTTTTTTTTTTTTTTTTTAAGGAAAATAAGTGTTGGCAAGGCTTTGGAGAAATTGGAACCTTCATATACTGTTGGTGGGGATGTAAAACTGGTGCAACCACCATGGAAAAGAGTTTGACAGTTCTTCAAAAAGTTAAACATGGAATTATATAGTCCAGCAATTCCATTCCTATGTATATACCCAAAAGAACTGAAAGCAGAGATTCAGATACTCATACACCAATATTCATTGGAGCATATTCATAGCAGCCAAAAGATGGAAACAACCCAAATGTCCATCAACAGATGAATGGATAAACAGAATGTACTATATACATACAATAGAATATTATTTGATCATGAAAGAGAATGAGACCTTGATACATACTACAACATGGATGAACCTTGAAAATATTATGCGAAGTAAAATAATCCAGGGGCACCTGTGTGGCTCAGTAGGTTAAGCATCTGACTTCAGCTCAGGTCATGATCTCACGGTTCATGAGTTCAAACTCCGCATCGGGCTCCACGCTGACAGTGTGAAGCTGCTTGGGATTCTCTTTCCCACTTTCTCTGCCCCTCCCCCACTTGCATTTTCTTGCTCTCTCAAAATAAATAAACTTAAAAAAAACACAACTTACAAAATGATACAAAAAGAAATCGAAATCTGAATAACTCTATTTTTAAAGTTGAAATGCTAATCAAAAGCTTTCCTACAAAGAAAACTGCAAGTCCAGATGGTTTCTCTTGGGAATTCTATCAAACATTTAAGAAAGAAATAATACTAATCTTACACATTTTTAGAAAACGGAAACTATTTCCAACTCATGTTATGAAGCCAGTATAACCCTGTCAAAACCTTGACAAAGACTACATGAAAATTTGTGACCAACATCTCTCACGATACAACAATCTTTCACAAAATATTAGCTACTTGAAAGCAGCAACACTAACTACATCATGGTTAAGTGGGTTTATTCCAGGAGTATAAGGTCACCTTAATCTTTGAAAATTGAGGTTATTTGTCACATTAACAGAACAAAGGAGAAAAACTATATGATCATACCAATAAATGTGAAAAAAGTGCCTCTGATAAAATCCAATAGCCATCATAATTTTAAAACTAAAGGCTCTGGGGGCACCTGGGTGGCTCAGTGGTTGAGCATCTGACTTCGGCTCAGGTCACGATCCCTGGTTTGTGAGTTTGAGCCCCGCATTGGGCTCTGTGCTGACAGCTCAGAGCCTGGAGCCTATTTCGGATTCTGTGTCTCCCTCTCTCTATGCCCCTCCCCTACTTGCACTCTGTCTGTCTCTCTCTCAAAACTAAGTAAACATTAAAAAAAATTTTTTTTAATAAAATGAAAATAAAAATGATTAAAAAAAAAAAGCTCTGGGGAGCCTGGGTGGTTCAGTCAGTTAAGTGTCTGACTTCAGGTCATGATCTCACAGTTTGTGGGTTTGAGCCCTACATTGGGCTCTCTGCTGTCAGCACAGAGCCTGCTTCAGATCCTTGGTCTTCCTCTCTGTCTGCCTCTCTCCCTCCCCACCCCCCCCCAAAATAAATAAACATTAATAACAACCTAATAAATAAATAAAATAAAATAAACATTTAAAAAAAAAAAGCATCTAGAAAGGACCTGATGCTAATACCATACTGCCCGTGAGATATTAAATACTTTCCCCTCAAGACAGTGAACAAGGACAAGATGTTCACTTGGACCACTTCCATTCAACACTATCCTGGAAGTCCCACCTATGGTGAAAAGGTAAGGAAAAGATACAAAAGTCGTATATATCACAAAGGAAGAAATAAAACCATTATTATGTTTTTTAAATCATTACTATTTTTAAAGAAGCATTTTACTTCACAAAATACTTAAGAGGAAATTTAACAAAAGATACATAAAACCTCTACAATGGAAACTATAACAGGTTATCGCCGAGACTTACACAGCAGTTTAATGACTGCTAATTTACTGAAATGCTTTGTAAGGAAATTCTGTTGGAGATGCTTTAATGTTTTCATGAAGCTTTCCTCAAGCTGGGCAGAAGCCTTACATGGGCCCTGGAGAGATGTGCAGGTCAGTCCTGCTAATAGCTGGTAACAATTTTACAACAGAAAAAGAAGTCTGCAATTATTATATTCTTCCTCATCCTACCTGCATAATATTGATGTACCCTTCCCATAGTACACTATATGTGACATTCCAGAAAAGGCTGGGGAAGCACTATTGAAAACCCATGCATTTAAAAATCAGCAACAGGGGCGCCTGGGTGGCTCAGTTGGTTAAGTGTCCGACTTCGGCTCAGGTCATGATCTCATGGTTCATGAGTTCGAGCCCCGCGTCGGGCTCTGTGCTGACAGCGCGGAGCCTGGAGCCTGCTTCGGATCTGTGTCTCCCTCTCTCTCTGCCCCTCCCCTACTCACACTCTGTCTCTCAAAAATGAATAAATGTTAAAAAAAAATTAAAAAATAAATAAAAAATAAATAAATAAAAATCAGCAACACAAGCAACAACACGTATTGGCGAGGATGTGGAGAAAGGGCAACCCTCCTGCACTGTTGGTGGGAATGAAAACTGGTGCAGCCACTCTGGAAAACAGTATAGAGATTCCTCAAAAAGTTGAAAATAGAATCACCCTAGGATCCAGCAATTGCACTGTGAGAAATAAGCCCACTGCCCCAATCAAAGGAAGGATGTGGGGACTCCAAGCACAGTAGAGCAAGGCTTTAATCAACAGTGTTGCAAAAGCAGGTGTCTGGTGGACAGGCACACTTGGGGCAGTTACAGCAGACAATTTATCTCCTAGCATGCAAGTCCCTCCCCTGGTTCCTCATTGGCTGAGCACTACAGAGCTTACAGCCTTACCCCATGTTGCCTATGCCCATGCAAGGCAAGGAGTAGTCTGATTGGAACAAATGTACATTCCTTGAGGTGATACAGAGACTTGAGTTCTTTGCCACATGCTCACTGCAAAGCCTGTGAAAATAAGCCCAAAAACGGAGAGGGGAAGAACCAGGAAGTGAAGTGTCTAAGGGTTTGAGACTCCATTGTGGTGGGGGGGCGGGGGGGATCATACATATTCCCATAGGTTGTAAACCTATTGTTAACTAGAGAGCACAGCTTTGATTTGGTATTTCTGAAAATGAATCATCTTCCTTACATCTCACAGCACTACTATGTATTTACCCAAAGAATACAAAACACTAATTCAAAGCACCCTGATGCTTATAGCACCACTATCTACAATAGACAAATTATGGAAACAGCCCAAGTGTCCATCGACTGATGAATGGACAAAGGTGTGGCCATAAAAAAGAATGAAATCTTGCCATCTGCAATGACATGAATGGAGATAGAGAGTATTATGCTAAGTGAAATAAATCAGTCAGAGAAAGACAAATACCATGATTTCACTCACAAGTGGAATTTAAGAAACAATAAATGAGGAAAGGGACAGAAAAAGAGAGGTAAACCAAGAAACAGACTCTTAACTATAGAGAACGAACAGATGGTTACCGGAGGTGAGGTGGGGGTGGGAGGGGAGGGGATGGGTTAAAAAGGTGATGAGGATTAAGGAATGCATTTGTGATGAGCACGTGTGATGTATGGAAGTGTTGAATCAGTATTTTGTATACCCAAAACGAATATTACACTGTTAAATAACTGGAATTTAAATAAAAACTAATAATAATAATAATAATAAAAAGAAAACATAAGTGATGTGGGAAACAAAGGCAGAAAGAAGTGTAGATAAAATTAAATTTCCTTATAACCCGCAGCCCATTGACAAACACTTAAGATAGGCAGAGTATGGCATTCTTCCAGGAACTCCTGACAATCTTAAAAGTTAATGCTTTGCTAGAGGGAAAAACAACTTTAGCTTGACAATAGCTATGCCTTCAGGATTCGGAGTCTTCTTTAGCATATGAAAGTCCTTTTGGAAACTTCCCCTTATCTCTACTTCCCCCAGCTCCTGGGTAGTTAATCAGTCACTCATAATCCTAGTGCCGCTCTTTCTGCCCACCTGCCCTGTCCCTGTGCTTTAATAAAACCACATTGTTTGCACCAAAGACATCTCAAGAGTTCTTTCTTACCTGTCAGCTCCAAACCCCAACACTTCAAACCACATCACAAGTATTTTATCTTGTTGATTTTCCTGTGAGACTTGATTAGCATACCCTGCCTTACCTCATCTCTACTCAGAAAGCAGCCCATTAAATCCTGGTGGGTGCAGAATAGTCTCTCTTCCCCTGGCTGGAAAATGACCAGTACAAAAGTGGGGTGCTCATCTGCTACAGTAATGGAGGTAGATACATGTAAAGAAACAAAATCCACCGGTTCCCTTCTTCTCCTCTTTTAATCCCTACAAAATTTTCCAATTATGAGTTTTTGTGAACTTAATTCTGACTGGTTTGTGAACAAAGCCATTTGCCCTGTAAACAAACAAAAAAGACCCTCTACTTGTATATTTTGTATATGACCAAGCAGTATTTGGGCTTACACCTGCCTTTGCCAAGTCAAAATAATTTTATTATTTTTTTAAGTTTATTTATTTATTTTGAGAGAGAAAGAGAACAGGGGAGGGAGGGGCAGAGAGAGAGACAGTGGATCCCAAGCAGGCTCCATGCACTGTCAGCATGGAGCCTGATGCAGGGCATGAACACAAACCCTGAGATCAAGACCTCAGCTGAAATCAAGAGTCAGACACTCAACCAACTGAGCCACCCAGGCTCCCCAAGTCAAAATAATTTTAAGATGAATTTAACAATATTTTAATGTTTAGTTTGGGTTTTTCTAGCTAAGATTAGTAAAGCATAAGTAAAAATTCACTGGAAGGATTTCTAAGTGCATGGCTGTGAGAAATAAGCCCACTGCCCCAATCAAAGGAGGCACGTGGGGACTCCGAGCACAGTAGAGCAAGGCTTTAATCAACAGTGTTGCAAAAGCAGGTGTCTGGTGGACAGGCACACTTGGGGCAGTTACAGCAGACAATTTATCTCCTAGCATGCAAGTCTCTCCCCTGGTTCCTCATTGGCTGAGCACTACAGAGGTTACAGCCTTACCCGACGTTGCCTATGCCCATGCAAGGCAAGGAGTAGTCTGATTGGAACAAATGTACATTCCTTGAGGTGATACAGAGACTTCAGTTCTTTGGCACATGCTCACTGCAAAGCCTGTGAAAATAAACCCAAAAACGGAGAGGGGAAGAACCAGGAAGTGAAGTGTCTAAGGGTTTGGGAGGTGGGTGTGGGGGGAGAGGGGCTCATACAAATTCCCAATAGGTTGTAAACCTATTGTTAACTAGACAGCACAGCTTTGATTTGGTATTTCTGAAAATGAATCATTTCACTTCTCACAGTGGCTAATTTTACAGACATTGGCAAAAGATATGTTTTTCCTGTTTATCAATTCCAAGTTACAAATAAGGACAGAGAAACAGTTTAATGTCTTTATCATTTGAAACATAAAAAGTAGCATATCCCCCCCAAATAAAACCTAATCGATTCTGTGGCATACAGAACAATGCCCCCCTCCCAAAGATATTTTCTTTTTTTTTTTTAATTTTTTTTTTCAACGTTTATTTATCTTTGGGACAGAGAGAGACAGAGCATGAATGGGGGAGGGGCAGAGAGAGAGGGAGACACAGAATCGGAAACAGGCTCCAGGCTCTGAGCCATCAGCCCAGAGCCCGACGCGGGGCTCGAACTCACAGACCGCAAGATCGTGACCTGGCTGAAGTCGGACACTTAACCGACTGCGCCACCCAGGCGCCCCAAGATATTTTCATCCTAATCCCCAAAACCTGTGAATATGTTATGTTCCATGGCAAGGGAGAAGTAAAATTGCAGATAGAAGTTTCCTAATCAACTGATTTTGAGATGGTGAGATTATCCTGGATTATCCAGGTGGGCCCTATGTAATTACAAGGGTCCTTAAAAGTGAAAGAGGAGAGGCAGTGTCAGAGAGATTTACCATAAGACTCAACTGGCCATTGTTGGTTCTGGAATGGAGCCACCAGTGAGGGAATCCAGGCAGCCTCCAGAATGTGGAAAAGGTAAAACAGAGACTTCTGTAGGGCTTTGAAGGCACACAGCCCTGCTGACACCTTGGTTTTAGCCCACTGAGATACATTACAAATTTATGACAAATTTGTGGTAATTTGTTGTTTTTCACAAATGTGTGGTGATTTGTTACAGCTGCAATAGGAAAAGAATACAGAATCTTGACTGTTAAATCATGTAATTGAGTAATTGGGACACACGGTGGCACTAGATCACCACATAAGTGCTTTCAGTTTCATAATTCTGTATTACTAGGGGCAATGCTAAATTTTCTTGTAATAAATTTAAACATTTTTTTAAGTTTATTTATTTATTTTGACAGAGAGAGGAGGCAGGCAGAGAGAGAATCCCAAGCAGGCTTTGCACTGTCAGCACAGAGCCTGACTCGGGGCTCAAACTCACAAACTGTGAGATCATGACCTGCTCTGAAACCAAGAGTTGGGCACTTAACCAACTGAGCCACCCAGGCACCCCTCTTGTAATAATTTTTTAAAAATCACCTCCTCACATTTGCATCCAAGTATCTGCAATATTCTTGGTAAATCCCTTAAATTGGCCTTGATGAATTTTTTTTTAAAGTTTACTTATTTATTTTGAGAGAGAGAGCATGCACATGAGCCGGAGAAGGGCAAAAGGAGGGAGAGAGAGAATCCCAAGCTGGCCGTGCACTGTCAATGCAGAGCCCCATGCAGGGTTTGATCTCACAAACCATTAGATCATGACCTTAGATGAAATCGAGAGCTGGATGCTTAACCAACTGAGCCACCCAGATGCCCCGATCTTGATGAATTTTTAAGTTGATTTCTGGCAATTATTATTTTTTTTTTAACCTAGAAAGATGAACTATAAATATAAAGAAGCCCCTGAATATGTGTCACAAATGTTAAGACCTTTTTTCCCCCAGTGTCTTGAACACTGACAGCAGCCACAGCAGGCACCCAGTAAATAATTGTTAAATGAAAGAACATCTCATGTCCAATTTCCAAATATAAATTGTCAAGTCATTTCTCACCTGAACCTGAATAATCTGGAACTTGAAGAAAATCCTTTTGTTCAAGAATTTCAAATTTAGTACTATTCATAGAGCACTCCTTTATTCAAATGTGCTTACAATGCATTCTCCTTCGTGCCAGGAATGAAACAGCCATTCCCAGTTCTATAGAGCCCTCCCTGCCCTCCACCCTGGCGTGTCCAGTTCTAACTCAACAGCCTCGGGCTTCTTATTCTCTTCCCAGTGTGTGCAGGTGACTTTGAGGGAATGAGTGTTCAGGGCAAAAATGGGCCAGAAGTTAATCACCTTGGGAGGCAGAGATACTGGGTACTCTGTACCTTTCACTGTTTCCTTCTGTGCCCTAGGATGCTTTATGCCTGCTGCGCCCTCTGCAGAGGGCATCACCTCTCTCCCTTAGCTTGTCTGACTCTCCAAGTCAAAGCAAGAAAGTATCCTCTTTGGAGAGTTTTTCCCTTTACATTCTGTCCCCAGACACCCTGCAAATTCTGATTCCTCTCTGTTCTCATAATACTTTGTTCTTTCCCTTACACCTTGCTTTATGGCTAGTTGTGGAAAGTGGCACCAGATTGTAATTTCCCTGTAGAAAAGAGTTTATTTTACTATTTTTTTGTGTTCTCAACATTCAGCTAGTACTGGGAACAAAGTAAATGCTTCTAGAAAGAGGAAAGAAGGAAAAGAGGGAAATAGGGAGGGAGGGTAGAAGGGAGAAAGGCTGTTCCATCATTGGGCTCAGACTACAGATGGGTAAAATAACTGTTGTCAATTTCTTAATGTTTAAATATGGGTGTGTACACATATGTTTAATCCAGAAGAAAAAGTAATCAGGATTACATTCATGATTTGGGTATAATTCCCATTTGCAAACTCTTCCTGAGGTAGTAAATATCATGAGGCCTAAAAATCAGTGCTGTCTTTACTCTTTTTAAAAGATAAGGAAGGAATTTGAATGCAAATTATGATGTTTTTCTTCAAAGGGGAATGATTTACCACTCTCTAATTTGATAAAGTTCTTTATGCTTCAGATACAGACTTTTAAATATTAATAAACCTCAGAAAGTAGGAATCAAATCCTCAACCCTTCATGAATTAATTATCACAATTTTAAAACTCCAATTCTACAAAGCAAATCATAAAGTGCAAAATGGCTTTTCCAAATCAAATCTTCTTTTTGGTATTAATTCATATGATTAAATACAATTTATGCATATTAAATTGAGTATTGATACTACAATTTGAAGTTTCCTATTTTTGATATTGAATAATTTCAAATATACATTTTTTGCTTTTTTTTTAATGTTTATTTATTTTTGAGAGACAGAGGAGAGAGAGAGAGAGCACAAGTGGGGGAGGGGCAGAGAGAGGGAGACACAGAATCCAAAGCAGGCTCCAGGCTCTGAGCTGTTAGCCCAGAGCCTGACGCGGGGCTCAAACCCACGAACTGTGAGAT